AAGATCCCCCAAATTTTTCTTGTACCTCAAAAGTTTGCTAGATAAAAATGACGTCTCTTTGCCATTAAAAATAACTCATGCTGCATTTTATGTACAAACCTAACATCTCAAAAGCACCAATGCCACACTATGTACAAATGGAAATAATAACTAATAATTATGTCAATTAATTTATTGCTCTGGAAGTCGTAGGAAATTTACCACAGGACCTCATTCGCTATTTTAGAATTGAGAAGGCAGCTAATTCTTTATAACTACTGTACTGGTCTTTTGTTCAGCTGTCGGCAGAAGAACAAAAACTTGAACAGGATCTTGCAGACGGGTGTTGCTAAGTAGCATGGGAGGCTCATAGCTTGCACTCTGACCAGCTACTGTGGACTGCTGTCACAGGGCATGATCGCTGCCCCTTATTCCATGACTCAACTTGCCAGTATTATATCCAATTCACCTCACATGACATCTACAAAGAATTCACAAGGATTACCCATGGCCATCCTAAAACTGTTCCTACTGGCTGACAGATTATCAGGGACTTGATCAAGTGGTCTCGGTATCATAGCGAGTCCAGGGGTCCCGGGCATGGGTACCCCAACCGGGGGTGGAGCAGGGAGTATTGGAGCAGCTGACCCTTCCACGCTACGTGCATCACGATCCTTTCCCTTGCTGCTACCACTCTTCCCACTGCTGCTTCCACCACTACTTCTGTTGTCACCATCTCCACGGTTACCGCCACCGCCACTTCTTTTAGAGCTGCCACTAGCACTGTGAGGGCTTTGGCTACCACTGTGTGCACTGTAAAATGACTGCGCATACCCTGGTGTCTGTGCATCAACCATGACTGGGGGGCCTGTGGGATATGGAGGCATTTGATGATAGCCATAACTTGGGGGCCCTGCCATCCAGGAGATTCCTTGCTGGTGTGGAGGGAGGGGTCCCAGAGTGTCATTGTCACCATCACCTTCATGCTCATGAATTGTAAGAGCCGCCATATCTAAAAACACAAACACAGAGCAACTGTTAAGGATCGATTCCTAGAAACAGTTTGAAAATGCAATGCAAAGGATGCCTTTTACCAATCAAAGCAGTAAGTCCAGGGTGCAAAGAAAGTCTGTTTAACAGCTTACCCTTTGGGAAAGCCGTAGCTAACGTGTACTAACCCAAGAGCAGTTTTAACAAGCCCCAATACAATTCTTGACCGGTAGCATTGATTACAGTTCTCTTTAAATTCCCTTTCCCGTTGGGCAAGTTAAGAACAGAATTCACTAGCCAGATAGTAAAATCCACTAAACCCAGACAAAACTTTCTTTGCCCATTGCCTTAAATTATAACAAATTTTCTCATAAAGGATATTCTACCAGAAAAAAAATATTATCACAAATTTTAGGTAAATAATGCCAAATAATGATCTGATAATACTATCTTGGGGTTGAATTAGCATTTCATGTGAAAAATGTCACAACAAAACTGGTATTTTGCCCCCTTCTGATTTACAAATGACTGGCAACCAGAATAACAATACAGGGGGGCTGTACACCAAGCATTGCCCAGTGGTCCATGGCCCCCCACTTTTGCTCTAGGGAGACCTTAGGAAATCTTAGGTTTTCTTTCTTTTTTCATGAAATCATATACTGGACACCCTTGAGTTCACTCTTACTAGAGCACAGCCTAGAGAATTAGCATAAGAATACAATAATCCAAAACCCACGAGGCAATTCAGAAATTAAATATTCAAGGACATTTTCCAGCTTTGACATTCAGCAATGCAATCCACAATAATTTAGTCATCATCACAAAAATAAGTAGTCAGCACATCTGCTACTCCAATTTAGTTTCAGACCAGAAGCATCCGGAGTGGTATGGGGTATCAAAATAGCTCTAGGCCATAAACAAGACTGTTAATATATTTGAAAATCTAAATAATTAAATTAGTGGTAATATAGGAGATAGATAACCTGGCTTGATAATACAACAAAGAAAATAACTCTGATGATTTTGGAAGATTAACTCTTTAAAATTTTCATCCCTAAGGCATGGACTAAAATATAAAAGGGAAGAAAATAAAGAACTTACTTCCACAAAGATCTCCAAAAACATAATAGCACTGTTCTGAGAAGGTAATTTTATTCACTGTGTGACGAATAAAGCCAGCCTGTAGGCAAGAAAAAAAGAATTATTTTTAACGACAAAAAAAGGTAGAAAAGTCTAGAATAATTACCAAATCATTTACCACATATGTTATTGACAAGATTATCTGATAATAATATTATGAGTCTAGTAATCTAATTCGTAGGTTACTTTCTTAATTATTCAGAAGAAAATTAAACTTTAGCCCATGGGTTGATTTACAGCAAAGACAACACTTTTTAAGTGTACAGACCTCACAAGTCTGTACTAAGGACGTGTAATGTGCTAGTGAGTAGAAGTGACAAAGCACAGGCCTACCTTTAAAAGATTGCAAGCATACTTTCTAGCTTCACGTCTATCTTGAAATCCTTCTACACGGTTGTAAAGCCAGTCTACAACATCAGAACCTGCAGTGTAAATATAATAAAGAAATTAGACAAGGCGTTGTGAGAAACATGCACTTTACCCAGAATTTCTTAATGTTTTGAGCTTTTCAAATTCCTTGACTTTCCTTGACTTTTTCCACGACCTTAGGTTTGGCTGTAATTTTCAAAAATTTTCTAAACTATTCTTAATTTTGGTGATTTTTTTATCTAACTCAGTTCAAGAGAGACGAACTCTGATGTCCAAAAGAACTGTCATTTGCACTCTGTCTCCAAATTCCATGTCCTTGCTTTGAAATAATTGCAGTAACTAATCTACTAAACATAACTTCAATAAGTTACTTATTTTCCAAGACTTTCCAGGCCTGGAAAACAAAATTCTTAAATTCCATGACTTTCCAGGTTTTCTATGACCTGTATTCTCCTATGTTAGCCCGTGTAGCCAGCAGGATCGTTAGTACGAGCAAAGTTTTGGCAGAGGAGCTAGGAAGCTGTGGTGCTTGCTTCTTGCGACAAAGCTTAGAGATTTATGTCTTAACTGCCAACACTCTCACACGCACAAACAATTCTGCCAGCTACACAGGTTAACCCTGTTTACCCTATGCTCAACAGTAAAGTTTGATGAAAGCATCAAAGATTATACACACCTAAAAAAGCATTAGGAATAGTAATTTTAAGCCACATCCTATCCCTGACATCAAGACCTGAATCTGGAGCTGCCATTGTTTTTACTATAGTGCTCAAGTCTGTATTTATTGAGAGTCCTTCCCCTTCTGGAAGCTCCGTATATCCTAGAACAAAAGAGAAAATAAACACTAAATAAAGCCAACAGAACTTACAAACAGTTACAGCTGTATACTGTCACTTTGCAAAACATATATAGTTGATAGTTGAACAAATTCTCCCCACTCCTTTTTAGGAAATGTATGGGGGCAACAAATGAGAATTTGAAGTTTGATATTTTATTTAATAGTTTTAAGGGTTGAGAACCACAAAGCAACTCACTGTCCGACTCTGGTAGGGAACTCCTCATTGATGAGCTTGTAGATGTCATGGTGGTTAGGGATTGGCTGTTCAGCTGTTTTCCATATTGGACTGCTGGGTTACCAAGCTCTAAAATTCAGTAGAAAACAACACCATGAGCAAATTACAAGCAGGAGATTTTCTTGTCAGTTAACCCTTATTTTATTCATGTACATAAAAATTTCAGTTTCGGAGGTGACTTTAAAGTACTTTTTAATACGAGCCATTGCTGTTGTGTGTTGGACCCACGCAGACGTATCGATAGGACGAATTGGTTCACCTAGACCAGAAAACAGAAAGGTAATCCAAATGTTAGCACACTGCACACAACTAAGTGCAATGGTTGATCACATGTTCAACTTTCAGTAAACATGAAAACAATTCGCTTTGGTAATTATTAGCATATTAAAATTACGTAACCTGTAAATTTTCTGTTGTATATCTCAAAACAATGGTTACGGAAAATTAAAAGGATTGTATGGAAAAACAACTCTTGCCACCTAGTCATGTTAAGTGGCTTCTCAAAAAAACCTTATAAATTTTGACGTTTTCAAATTGTTGTAAAATCTTTCCCTTGTGTATTACAAAGCTCAAATTTTCTGTTATGAATTAATAAGAAAATTCAACACATAGGGAAATAGGCATATTACAAAGAACAAAAAATTGATACATACTTGGAGGTAATGTAAAGTATCCTTTGGGGGTTGGATCCCAACATTTTGCTACAGTCAGCGTAATAGGTCTGAAAAACAATTTATAATTATAGGATAAATGAGAAACATGTGTAGAAGCAGCATTTTTTATATGTATTTACCAGACAATAAATCTGTTGCTATAGTGTTGCATCTAACATAAACATTTATGCCTTGAGATCAAGTAAAATTGTCATTCACAGCCTTCAAATATCAAAGAAGTCCTTCAAATGTCAAGTGTAAACAACTAAATGGTTTAATGAAGAGTTTCAAGCATACAATACATTCACAGTTTCTTTTTATTAAAACCACATTGAACTGACTACAAATGACACGAAATAAGGCATGGTAAAGAGCAATAGATCATCCCTTAATTCAGGAAAATGATACTGGATTTCCTGAATCTGGTTAAAAAAGGGGGGCCAAAGAGGATAATGTGAATAAAAAAAACAACAAGATTATTTTTGTGATAGCTTTCAAAAAGGGCATGCATTTAA